GCCATATTTCACGTCTTTATGCATCCGCGAATATTTTTGCAGGACCAGCCGTGAACAGGGGGGGGATGAGAAAGGGAGAGCTTCGGCTCGGTATCGGCCGCGAGAAATTTCGTATTAAGTCTATCGACGGGGAGGACCGCAATGTGGTCTCACCGGGCGGTTGCCCGACGAGTTTTCGGTGGATGACTTTATAAGGACCAATCATTGAACTCGAGTTAATCATTCGATACTTCGATAATTGGTTTTTGACTATCAATCGTCAAACTAAAATCTGCTGGATAAAGATTAATATTTTTAACGCAGTCTGAAAACGTAATTTGCAAAGAGAGTTTCTATTTTTCTATTGCTTTTAATTAAAAAAGTTTTTATCCTAATATTTTAATTGGAAAAAAATTCAATTTCGAAACAGTATAAATAAAAAATAATCTCGTAAAATTCTACGATTTATCATTCAGTGGAGTTGAGACGAATGTTAACGCTTTGTATGTGCGTTTAGTGGAGCACAAAGAAAAATAAGCAAAGTTCCTACGTTTATTCAAGCCAAACCGATCTCCGTCGATGCGACAGCTGATAAAAAATTCATAGGCAGCCGGATCAGCGTGCATTCCGGTACCCCGCGCGGAGACAATGATTGTTACAGTGTTCCGATCCCTATTCCGTACCTTCCAGTCGATTGAATCACACTGTCTTATCCAGTTGCCGGTGGTCAGGGACAAGTAAGGGGGGACGGGCGCCTGCTATCGTGCGTGGACAAAGGGGGAGGGTATGTGTTGCGCACAATGCAACGCGGCCATTGTGCCCGATTCGGAACGATTACGAGCCACTAAATAGTCCGGACTGATCCACTCAGCCCGAGACGAGTCGCTTCACCTCGGAACACCTCTCTTAATCCCACAAAAGCGAATGCGTCGGATAAATAAGCGCGGGAACGAGGGGAAGTGGCTCCCGGGGTGGTAGAAGGGGGAGGGGGGGGATAAACTGATGCAGAAGGCGAGGATGGGGGATATGTGGATGAAAACGATGCGCCAAGCAAGATGGGACGATAATCTCTCTCTCAATGGTGAATATATTGGGATATTAAATTATATACGGATGGTATGTAGTTCTATATTTCTTCGCTATATAAAACAACATGGCCAATCGCGATACTTTTTTACAGATACGTGAAAAAAAGCGAAAGGCTAAATTAGAAATTTTCAATTTTTAGCTTTATTATTCCGTATATTCAATTGAAAGAAAATAAACTCTACTTTAAATATTAATAATAATTTACCCTGTAATTTGATTAATCTTTAAGATTTAAATAAATGTAAATTCTATCCGCTTGTGATATTTGGTTTACAAAATGTTAATCTGTAATATTGAAGACGCAGGTTTCCTTAAATAAACGATTCTTATACCGCGATACTGTTATCACTAATCAATCCCCCCCACAAAACACATAGGGGAATTTAATCGACAAAATCAGAATCATTCCCGAGAGAGAAAGAGAGAGAGAATGAAAACAGAGAAGACGCAGCCGGTCCCGAAGAATCCGAAGATCATAGCCGGCCGCTGGTTCCAGCATCATGTAACCAGCGGCGCCGACCCCTTCCCTCCCCCTCCTCCGCCACCCTCCTCCTCCTCACCGACCTCCGCTAATATCCACACCAGCAACAATCACGGATTAATGGCATTGTCCGCGCGTATCTACTCGAAATGTACGGGGCGCGCGCGCACAGGTCCAACGGGCGTATGTACACACATAGAGCGGTGATGCATCGACAATGGGAAGTGGGCTCTGTTCGGGCGACCCAACGAGGTATTACCGGGCGAACAAGCATGCAGTTTGTCCCCCATTGTCGCCGCTCGATACAGTGGGAATAACGCACCCACCCCCCTCCCCTCCCCTCCCTCCCCCCCCTCCCCCCTTCGGAACCACCCCGCGTCCCGCTGTATTTGCAGTATTCGGCTCGGCTCGACTCGCCTCTCGCGTCCGCCCGCGGTGTTTGCCGTCGCGAGCCTTCTTACCCCCGCGCGTTATATCCGATTTCAAGTCGCGCCATTGTCCCGGCGTTGTGTCGCCGAGCTTGATAGGTGTAACGTAGTCGTTGTCGCGCGGGAGAAAGAGAATCCGGAACTGTTTCACGCCTGTGTTTGCTGATACGGTTGATACGATTTCATTGTCGTTGTACGGTTCATAATGGGGAGAAAAGTAGCGAGATTGAAAATAAAGGTCGCGCAAACGGATGTCTCTCTGTTTCTTTCAGCAATTAAGGCTATTATTTCGTCACGTGCGACCACCTGAATTGTGACGAGATCACGGAAGCGGGAGCATCCTTTTTTTTTTGCAATGCGCGTCGCAATAAATTATTCGCGTAGCGCTTCTCATGTACGACAAGGAAGTTTTCCCTAGATTTCATCAATTTATAGAGATTGTAAAGCATCAATAGCTATATGTGGCAAAAAAATTATTCTTAAATGCAAAACAAGTCAGCTAAATTTATCGCTAAAAAGAGAAAATGCAATTTGTTTGAAAGTTTGAAGTAACATCGTCAAAATAATCTTGTATATGTTTGTAGATATAAATTTTTGTCTTGAATTTTCGGGTAGGGCCTAAAAAACGAAATATGTCAATATTGATATATACTTTTTCTTAATAGGACTCTTGGGACTCT